CACAATATATATATATGTGTGTGTGTGTTAAGCTTGTTCTTGACAACATAAAGTGTTTAACTTTGGTTCACAAGGCATTTCACTTTTTTAAGTTCATACTTGAACTTTTTACCCTTTAATAATTTTGCAGGCTTGATCTGACTATCACTTGGGGAAATAAACTACAGCACTGGGGATTATCACTTTTACCATGATTGAGTATTTTCCACAGTAAATAGAGAAAATGAGGCTCAGATCTCAAGTCTTTGTAACAGTTTGTTTACACGAATTTAATAGGATATTTTATTCTGAGCTACATAAATTAAAATGTGACTTTTTTTCTTTTATTATAAGAATTGTGTTGGAAAATCCACAACATCCTAAAAGAGTAACCCAAACTTATATTATATTCAGAACAAATAACATAGATGTGTGAGATGACAACTGAAGGCTTAAATAAAAATACAACCATTTCAGCTCAGTGTTAGACTATCTACTGTTGTTTTCCTATTTATTTTGTTGTTGTTGTTGTGAACCTATTTATTCTTCGCCTCTTAGCTGATTGTAGCTCAGCTCCCATGTGTCTCGCTGCTTTACTGGATGTGAAATTCCAACACCAGAACCCCTTGGTATGCTGACACACCAAGAAACCCCCCCAATCGCAGCTCTGTGTGTGTGCGAGCGTGTGTGTCTGTGTGTGTGTCATGCTGAAAAACTCATGCATGTGAGAAGTCTACAACAGACACTACAGACCGACATGCCAGGGTTGAGCAGTGATGGAATCTGCACGCGACGATTAAAGAAGACGAACGGGAACAACAAAATAAAAGTGCCCCTCACACTGAACTGAACCTTGGAGTTCTCATAAAACTATACTACTTTACATGCTCCACTCAGTTTAGTCAAATTATTATATATTTGGCTTTCAGGGACATACATTTTAACGTAAAGGTTTATATAATGAGAAGATGCAACATCCCTGCTTTAATGCTAACCTGAAAAACAAAACAAAACAAAACAAAAAAAACCCCGAGAGAAATACACGCTGCCGGTACTTTGATCATTAGGTGAGGCTGGCATACTAACGCCATCACAGCGGTATTAGAAGCACTAAAAGGAGCTGTGGTGAGAATGTCAAAGCTTAACAGTTGGCAGTAAGTGAGCGAACACGCACGCAATAAAATATACGGGAATGGTGCTAATATCGCCTCAAGGCACTGTGGTTTTACCACTGCACGTCTTTTCTTTCCCACTGGGTAAATTCAGGTTAGCGCTTCAGCAACTCAGCAGATCAACTTGTGTCAAGGTGAAGTAACGTCTGGTGATTTGTAACCAAGTCTCCCTCCAGCTTCTCACAGCTGAGAGCGAGAGTCCTTCCACATGATTTAGAAGCAAATGCCTTTGATTTGGTAAACACAGCGGATGAGTCGGCGTTTGATCGCGCGGCGGAGGATGATGCTGCGTGCACAGCAGGGCGCTGCTGGTTACCTGGGGGTGCAGAGGAAGGGTTGAGCACCAAAGGGGACGTGGACAGCGAGGTCAAGACGGTGGCAGCCATCACTTCCTTATCAGCATGACCTGAAGGGTTCCTGAAAAACATGTAAGTATCAGGAACCACATCAAAACAGGAGGAGAAAAGAAACACTCATCAGTTTTGTTCAACCCAGGGCTCAGACTCAACATTTTGTTTAGATGTGGGTTTAAAAGGATAAATTAAAAGGAAGCACGGCCTTGTGCAAAATAAAAACTGAAAGGCTGCAGTTTCAAAAATAATATCAACAGTCATGACTTTCAGAAAGATGCAACAACAAACAAGAAGTAAGCAGCAGAAGCACTGAGAGAAAAGGAATCTAATATTCAGGCACTTGTGAAAACCCTGCTTGGATGTGCCTGCATGTGAAGACGAGGCTGTAATGGAAAGCCTCTAAAGTGAAAGTGCTTTGTGGTGAGCTTCTGCTCTGTGAAGCCTTGCTTAGACTGCCAGGCCTTCTTCTTTCTTCTCCCCCCAACTCATGGTAAATCTTATTTATACTGCTCACTCAAAACAACAAATACATGAAGGGATGGGCGATAAATCGATTTTATCGATTAATTCGAATTTGCTGTGTGTGTAACGATTTAATTTTGGGGAAATCGAGATTTTTTTCCCCCCTCGAGTGCACTCTTTGGGGCTTCCGTAGTGTGGAGGTCTGTAGGTTTCACCCCGCCCGTCCTGTCCCTCAAGACGCAATGGAAGAGGAATTAGTTCCCAAAAAAGGCACCGTGTCTTCAGTTATCTGGAACTGGTTCGGTTTCGCAACCGCGGACTCGGAGCAACAAACAGCTCGCTGCAAAATCTGTTTGAAGGCTGTTGCTACCAAAAGCGGGAGTACGACAAACTTGTTTCAACACCTGAAACAGAGGCGCTCTGTGGACTGGGAGAAATGCTGCTCTTCACGACAAACTCAAGCTAGCAGCAGCCCAAAAAGCAGCACCGCCAAAAGACAAGCTACCTTAGGGGAATCATTTTCAAACTGATTTCCCTACGAAAAGACGAGTGCCAGGTGGAAAGCTATAACAGATGCCGTCACGTTTTACATCGCAAAAGATATGGTGCCTTATACAGTGGAAAAACCCGGCTTTATTCAGCTGCTGAAAACTTTGGACGCCAGGTATGTGCTACCTAGCCGCAAATATTTCACCGAAGTTTCCCTGCCACACCTTTACAACAACACGGTGCTGAAGGATGTGCGTTTTTTTCTGCAACAACGGACTTATGGTCCAGTTGAACAATGGAGCCRTATATGAGTTTAATAGCGCATTTTGTTGACAAAAGCTGGGCTCTACAAAGTATCTGTCTGCAAACGGCTTACTTTCCTGATGATCACAAAAGTGAAGTAAGCACAGAAGGACTAAAAGATGCTCTGAGCTCCTGGAACCTTCCTGAAGACCGACTCGTCTGTGTGACAACAGATAGCAACACAAACATCATTAAAGCTCTGAAAGACATCGAGTGGCCAAACCTCCAGTGCTTTGGTCATAAACTACATAATGCCATAGGTAAGAATCTAATCTATTATTGTCTTTTTTATATTATTTGCATTCATCATGAGGGTCTATGTAACGTGAGTGAGTATGTTAAGAATCATTAATAATTAAATTTTTGTTGAGATTCAGAATGCACTCAAGAAATGCAGACAGAAATTAAAAACACCTAAAGAATAGCATCATCAGAGGACAACATTAAAAATATAACACCTTAAAAATTTGATAAACTGTTAAAGTATTTACATGAAGTGCAKCTGATGCCCCCTCATCAGCTAATAACGGAGTCCCCAACTAGATGGGGTTCACGGCAGAAAATGATACAGTTTAAAAAAAACCTCACTTGACCATAAAACCCCCTCGATACAATTTTACCC